CGTCTTCACCAAACAGACTCAGGATGAACTTCAGAGTTTTTCTGTTGTCTTCAGTGAAATCTGAAGGTTTCACTACCAGCAGCAGAACATTTGGTCCAGGAGAACAGAGACTCACACATCTCTTCATCTCTTCTCTCACTGTGTCCACAGACAGACTGAAGACGTCTGGAGTTTTCACTACTGTTAATATTCTTCTTTTGCACTGTCCCTTGCCAACCTCACAACGGTTAACTCCTGACTCTCTCAGAGGTGTAAAAACGTCTTTTCTCAGGATGAAGTTAGATAAACGTGTCTTGTCGTCATCACTTTGTCCAAAAAGAATAATCCTGAGTTCATTTGCTGTGTACCAAAAAAACAAACAAACACAGAAACAGAAACATTTGTTATTTCATTGACTTCTTTACCAAAATATAAAACTAGTTTACACATTGCTTCAATGGTCAGGGACCTGATGGGAGGGTACTTATTCTTAAAATAATTAACAAATGCTTTTATACATGTACTTAGTTGTTTCTGTTTTACTAGAGTCACACAGTTTCAAGTTCATCATTACTGTATTGCAGCACAGAGTTAAAGTACAGGTGAGCAAAACTAATAAATGAAGAATGTGGGCGGCTGGCACTTTCCATACCAAGTTTTTTGCATTGTGAAAATCACAATTTTAAAAGCATAAAAGAATATTTTTTTTTTTATCATTGTTTTTTTTCTTTTCTTTCTTATTACTTGTGCACATCCACAACGTGTGTGTGCATAACCACTGTTGTGCATGAAGGTGCTGAAAAGTGCATGAGTTCCCAACATACTCTGCTGACAGTGTTTTTATTATGTCTTTATCATGATACTTTGCTCTTTGCTTTATTATTTTATGGGATTTTCTGTTTTGTTCAGCTTTACTGCCCTTCAGACTGTAGAATCATTAATCTTTATATGCTGATGTACAGACTGATAACTGAATCAAGAGGTTTCTCCACGTTAGCAAGGATCAGATTTCTAAATTGTTTCACACGATCCTCCCAGTCACCAAAAAAACTTCATATTCTCTAAAGTTTAATTCACACACAACTAAGTGTCAGGTCAAACTACACCACAACTGGGTTTAAAAGTTTTGAGCAAAGTGGACAACACACCTGTCCATGTCTTGATGTACTCATACACCCGATTGGAAAATCACAAACATTAGTAACACCACATGATGAGAAAGAGTATATATTTTAGCATAATTACACAGGTTTCCAATCCCTTTACATGTTTATTGATAAATTCTGAATAGTTTATTACCACCACATTGTTATCCAAAATGATGGAATAATCTACACATTCATATCCAAAATTTTCTGTAAATTCGATTTAGAGATATTTTATGAATGATAATTCAGATCTCTTACCACATTAAATCTTATCACATTATATTTATTTCTTTTGCACTTTTTTAAAAACCTTTGACAACCCTCATTTTAGTGCCGAGACACATACAACAACTTCACTTGAAATCAAATTGCATTAAAGTAGAATACACGGCAATGAGCAACTGTCAATGAGACAAACAGAATCAAAACATCATCCTGATTCTAAATTTCATTCATAATACATTTCCTAAAGATTTTATAATGAGGTGAAATGAAAATGTTGTATTATTACACACTTACCTATTGTACTGGTTGCAGTTGCTGACATCTTGGAGGGTATGTCTGGTTTTATATTTGACTGAATCGGCAGTATCTCTTCAGCTTTATCTCACTCCAAACAGTTAATGTAGTCGATGTGTTCACATGGTCTCAACAGTCGCTGCCACCCTAAAGACAATCAGACATTTTAATTTCAAAACTGACACATTATTATATTAATACATTTGGACTTATATTTCAGTTCAGTCTACCTACCGAAGTGACAACGTGTCATTCTTTGTCCAAGCAGGAAAGACGAACTCCAACAACCAGCTCTGCCAGGATAACTTCTCTATCACCAGAGTGGGCAGGACTTCAGACAGCTGAGTTAATGCTTTACAACACTACAGTTATACTGCAGCACTCTAAGGCAAACTCCTCACTGCTGCAGCTCTCGTTCCTTCTTCTTTTTTAGGCCTACTATCAGCATGTGCAGGGATAGCAATGTTGATTATTCGGTTCGTGACGGTGCACAGCTATAGTTCAGTGGGGCGATCGGTCTTTTGCTGTCACTGCTCCCAGACTGTGGAACAAACTGCCCCCTGACATTCGCACCACTACTGACCTTGGCATTTTTAAATCAAAGCTGAAGACCCACTTGTTTAGATTGGCTTTTAATTCAGACTAGGGCAGTCCTGTTTTTCTATGTGCACTTATTCTATTTATTTTTTCCTTTTTATATTGTTTTGGTCTATTTTAATAACCTGCAGCATGATGGCACTTTCCACAGTCTAAAACCTGTTTTATGTATTTGCTTGTATGTACTGTTTTTACGGCTGTGTTGTAAAGCACTTTGGGTAACTTTTGGTTATTGTAAAGGGCTATACAAATAAAATTTGATTGATTGATTGATTGATTGATTGATTGATTGATTGATTGATATAGTTCACACTAAAATATGTCCCAAACTGGATGGATTGCCACAAATTTTAAAACACATGAACAATGAATCCTAGGAACACAATTGCCATCATTAGGTTGGTATTTGTGGCGACGTCAGGCCTGATTGTTGATAATAAAGATGACCAATAAGCAACATTTAGGGCTAGTTTGTGTCAAACTGATCATTTGTGTGACTATTTTGTGTGAACATGTGATGACAGAGGACATGTCATTCAAAATGCTACCTGCAGAGTATTTGTACTGTTGCATCAGGCTTTACCAAGTATATCACACACTAACATGTTGTGACACAGGATCTGTCATTCAAAACAAACCTTTTCCTCTACAGAGTAGCTGTGTTTCAGTGTAGCCATGGCAACATTATAGCGCTGATTTCAGCAGGAACAGTTCTGTCAACCAAAAGCTATTTTCCTTTCAATCTAAACTGCATTTTAAGCTGTGTTTAAATCAAATGTATTTTCTACCAAATTAGTGTTTGGGTGAACATATCTTTTAATGGCTTTGCTGTTCCTCCTTATCAGCCGATCAATCATATAGTAGATGGGGTGGGCCTTGTCACCCCGGTAACCCAGAAGATGGAGGAGAGACATGCAGTAAAAGTTTCAGATGTACAGCAAAAGGATTGTACTTCAAACCATAGCATGATCATGTCTTACACCTTGCTAAGTAGCTCTGGTACCTACACTACACTGAGCTTCCTACATTTTCTTGTTGTTGTCAAAGTGTCAACCAAACCCTGATATTTTCCTAAACCTTCTGTTTAGTAAACACTGTCATTGGCTTTGATTTTGTTTGTGGTTTCTTTCCTGCTGTTTCAGTGTCTGTCTTAGTCGGTTGTACTTCCTGTGTTTGTCTTGTTCCTGCTCTAGAGATTCGCTGAATGTTTCCACTTGTTCCTGGTTACCTTGGTGTGTTTTGGATTTTTGGTAAACTTTAAATGCACTGCTTGTTTTTGAAACCTGCCTTCGTCTGCATTTGGTCTTCTCCTGACAGCCTATGGAACAAAAATAAAAGAGACCAAAAACAGTGACCTGCTCTAATCTATAAGATAACTTGGAATGACATCTGCCAACAGCTAAAAGGAGATATAAGGGAAACGGGTGATATTTCCTTCACACTTCGTTAAACAGGCCAGAACTCCAGAACGCTCTGTCATGGTCCCGTTGCTGCTAAACTCCCACAATGCTCTCTCCTGCCAACCAGGAAGTGATGCCTCCTCTGGTCTCTAAACAGGAAGAGGCTGCACCTGGTGGAACAACCAGGTGCTACAGCTAAACTCCCACAATGCTCTCTGCTGCCAACATTAAACTAAACGCAGCAGAGGTTTGTTTCTTTCTCCACTGACACTGTTAAATCCTTGTGTAGACCTACAGACTTTGTTGCTTCACTGTGTCCCGTGTTGTTTCCCAGGGCACCAACAATCTATTGAAGAATTCATGAACTTAGCCTACATTTTAACACTTGGAACCTGAGCTGAGACTAATGAGTTCCAGGTGATGTTCATTATTGTTAAGAACATTAGGCCCTGTAGTTGGGTTAGACAGAGACTTCATGACTTCAGAGTTCATCTAATCTTATGGCAATAAGTAAAAAAAACATATGAGTGCTAATAATTACAGTTGAGTTACTGTTGTGTTTTTGTTTTTTTTGCATTTGAGCAGTGTATTTATTTTTATTTTTTTACTTTAACTTGTGAAACTAATGCAACAATATCAAATGTGCTATTAAGTCTACAAGAGAGATCAACATCAGCTTTATTTGTCTCATACACATTTATACACAGTACAATGTGCAGTAAAATGTATTTTGCATCAGCATCCACTGCTGGGTGCTGCTGCCCATCCAGGTGATGATACTCCTGCACAGGATGCTCTCAGTGGTGCAGGTGTAGAAGCTCCTGAGCACTGTGAGCGGGAGCTTGAAGTCTCTCAGGCGTCTGAGGTAGAAGAGACGCT